ACGGTAGTGGAGTGGCGGAGATGGTGCGGAGAAAGGAGCGGGCTACCTCGGATATGATGAGACCGCCGCGGCTTTGGTGCAGGGGGCTGGGGAAGATGGTCGGAGAAATTAGCGGTGGTGTGGCGGGCGGCAATGGAAGGGCTGCGGCAACAATTGGGACTAGGTCATGGAGGAGCTGGCGGCAACAATTGGGACTAGGTCAGGGCTGGTAAGGATGGAGAGGGAGGGCATTTTGGGGAAATTACACTCATAGTCAACCCTTCAAAAAAATGAAGAAAAGTCCAAATGGGAAGTTTTTTCCCGGACGGAGGGAGTATTAATATTAATGGTAGAGTCCCTTAGGGTTATTGTTTATCGGGTCAAATGTTTTATTTCATATATCTCAGTTACTTAGTAAATAGTGTGTAAGTGGGCCTAAATTCTATGAGTAGTTGCTAAGTAATGTGGTAGTGAACCTAAAGTTTAGGAATAGTTACTAAGTAGTGTGGTAGTGAGCCTAAATTATAGGGATTGGTAGTTGTTTGGCTTCTATAAATATTGAGGTTCATTATTTGTAAAGCTATCCAGAAAAGTAATTCAATATTTATTATTGGAGATTCTCCTTGGCTTTATTACTTATATGAGTTTAAGATTCTTGCTCATATTTTGATAAAGATTTTCCTTCATCTTTATTATTTATGAAGTTAGATCCTGATTTCATAATTTGATAAAGACTATCCTTCATTTATTTTCCCCACCAATCTTGAGTTCTATCAGTGCAATATATACCGTACAACCGAGTGCGTGGTAGTTTCATTTGGAGGCTATAGTCGTCCAACTTGTGCTACCATATCATCTCTATCACTGGGCGGGCTCAACTCATCCTCCTACATTGATTATTATTATAATCATTTAATTTATTTCTAGACCCTCTTGATCATAATGGCGTAATCAAGAGTGATTGAATACATGCATCTTTCAAAGTGATCATCATGATCATAATGGCTTATATATATGAAATATATATAAAAGACATACATGGATGTCGGTTGATTCATACTGTTATATATGTTCATTTGATCAGGTTGGTACGGGGAGGCAAAAAATAAAAGAGTTTTGAGGGTTTCTTGCTATTACTCCGGGGGTGAACCTATTATTTTTTCATTGACCACTCGGATCGCGGGGATCACGTCATTAGTAGACGTGGATGCAATGCGAGTGGTGGAATACGTAGACAGAGGGAAGCTTCCGATGATGAATGCCACTTTTGACGACACACAAGCAAGGAGGACGGCTACGACGGCGCCATTTAACCGAAACAAATCGTCAAATATTCATTTGAATGGGAATGTGGTGAAATGGAGAAATTGGGAATTCCACGCGGCGTTCAATGCTCGTGCGGGCATTGTTATATCAACTGCCTCTATATCAGATCCAACCGAACAGCAGAGGTTAAGGCGCGTGCTCTACAGAGGTTTTGTTTCGGAGACATTTGTTCCATACATGGATCCCACGCCTGAGGAGTACTTTAAGACATACATGGATGTCGGGGACTTTGGTTTTGGGACTTCCGCTATTTCTCTGATTCCCTCGTTCGATTGCCCCGCTGATGCCGTGTATATTGATGGGCATATGGCCGGAGCAGATGGTCAGGCACTACTTTCGTCAAATGTCATTTGTGTATTCCAACGTCATACCACCGGACAAGCCTCTTGGAGACACACAGATCTTAGTCCAAATGGCCGCCAATGGAACCTTGTAAGCACTCAATTCTTCACCTACTATATAGTACCACTTCTCATTCTTAATTCATTCTTTGTCCTGTTTTGACTTTTTTCATTAAACTCTTTTAAATCTTTAACATATATATTACTCCCTCCGTTTGGAAAAACACTTCCCATTTGGATTTAGGGCAAAAATAAAGAAGTGTTAAATTATAGTTGATTTCCAATTTTGCCCCTGATGTGATAGGTAAAAGTAAGATGTGATGGATGGATTATTAGAGAAAAAGTATGATGTGATAGGTAGGGTATGAAAAAGTAAGGGTAAAAATGGTTTTTTAATAGAAAAGGGAAGTGTTTTGTTGGAAGTAGAAAGAATGAAAGAGGAAGTGTTTTTGAGAACGGAGGGAGTATTAATTAAATATATCTTTTATACTCCGTCTGTCCATCATAGATCTTCTCAGACATTATTTACAGGGCCAAACTTAATTCACCTTGTTTGTTTATTTTCACTACTAATTTCATAAAATAATACTCCCTCCGTCCCAAAAAGTTTGTTACGTTTAGAAAAAACTGCGTCCCGTAAAGTCTGTTGCATTTCTATTAAAAAACCACTTTTATCCCTTACTTTTTCATACCCTACCTATCACATCATACCTTTTTCTTAATAATCTACCCATCACATCCTACTTTTACCCATCACATCAAGGTTAGTTTTGGAAAGTCAATACCAAAATATCCCTCCCTTAATTTCCCAAAAAGTCAAACCGTCCCATTCTTTTTGGGACGGAGGGAGTATAATGTTGTCACCTCTAGTTTTGTAGAACTTTTCATGTAGTTTATTACTACATAGATTTTATATTAAAATTTTACCCCTATATTCAAATAAATTAAATTGAAAATAAAGTCGGTCAAGGCTCGTAACGCGCAATGAGAAGATCTTAGGTGGACGGAGTGAGTATTATTTAGATAAAATAAGATTTTTGAAAATATTTGATACGGAGTATAATGTGTATAATTGATGTTTTGTAAAAAGTTTAAAGTTTATGTGAGTTTTTAAATAATAAAATACTACATATACAAAAGCAAAAAATTATCTATACTATCTATACTACATATACAAAAGCAAAAGAATTATGAAAAGATAAAAAAGAAAAAAATGTTGTTTCCCGCCCAATCCATTGAACATACCCGAGTAGTATTTAATGAGCAGAAACCTTTCAGATTTCTACGATAAATGTAGCCGCCCAATCCATCTACTATTATGTACTCCGGATATTGAAAATGGAACATGGTGTATTGGGTGTATTGAATGAACAAAAAAGAATTTTTGTTGTTCTTTAAAATACACTCATGCAAGTGCAAGTGTGCAACTCATTACTAAAAAATCCAGATTATTCTAAAGAATCTCCAAGAGTATTGTATGCAAATTCAAGTTGGTAAAAATAAAATCTTGAGTGATCGTCGATGAACCTGCGACTAATATGTTGATCAAAGATGCGAGAAGGAGAATGAGAGAGGGAGGGACAAATATTGGATAAAAAATTCATTAAAAAAACATGATGAGTCTATTACTCCAACTTTGTCATAAAAAAATCATTTTCACTTTCACAATCATAATCTTAAAGGGGTGTTTCTCTGGTGCTTATTGGCTTTTTGCTGATAAGCAATTTTTAACTTATAACCTACATAAAAGTCAGATATTCTTCCGTGGATGTAAAATGACTTATATGATAGATAAATTATTTGTAAACATTTATAAATGGTGGGGGGAAATTTTGTAAACAATCAGGTCAAAATGAAAAAAATGAAAAAACTGAATCTCCAAGAGTATTGTATAAAAACTTGAGTTGGTAAAAATTAAATCTTGATTGATGGTCGATGAACCTTCGATTGATATGTTGATCAAAGATGCGAGGAGGAGAATGAGGGAGGGAGGAACGTAACCAATAACCAATACTGGATAAATAATTCATTAAAAAAATATGATGACTTTATTACTCCAACTATATCATACAAAAATCATTTTCACTTTCACTATCAAAATCTTAAAGGGGTGTTTCTCTGGTGCTTAATTATTGGCTTATTGCTGATGGGTAATTTTTAACTTATAAGCTATTTATAAGTCAAATATTCTTTTATAGACGTAAAATGACTTATATGATAGATAAATTATTTGTAAATATTCATAATTGGAGGGGGAAAGTTTTTTAAATAATCGGGTCAAATCGGAGAAATGAAAAGCTGACTTAAAAATAAGTAGGTAAAACCTACTTATTTTTTCTAACTTATAAACAGCTTATAAGTCAGCTTATATGCAATGACTTAAAAGTTAAAAACTGCTTATAAACAATTTTGACCTGTTTATAAGCACAGAAAAACACACACTAAGGGCCTGTTCTTTAGGACTTGAACTCTTAACTTCCAGTTTCTTCCAGTTCCTTCTAGTTTCTTCCAGTTTTTTTCAGTTTCTTCCAAATCCTTCTAGTTTCTTCCAGTTCTTCTAGTTTCTTCCAGTTCTTCTAGTTCCTTCCAGTTCTTTCCAGTTTCTTCCAACTTTTCTCATTTTCTTCAAAATCTTTCTACTCCTCAACCAATTACTCTAAAAATGATATATTTCAATGTGATTATTATTATTATTATTATTATTATTATTATTATTACAACTATTATATACTATTATATTCATAACTATAGTTTATAAATTATTTTTTTTCATCTCACTATTTTTACGATTCACACTTATTATTTTTTTTCTTCAACTTTTTAATATGAATAAGACATTTTTTTGTATATTAGTCTACATGATAAAATAGGAAAGCATCAATATGTTAAATTATACTAAAAAATTATGGATAAGATAGTTACATTGAATGTTTTATTAATAACTTTTTATAAGACATCTCAGTTTTTCCTTTATTACTTAAAAATTGCTCATTTTTCTAATTTTTATAAAAGAAAATTGTAAGTCAAAAGAGCTTAGAGAAAAAGATTAAAATATGAGTAAAACTTAAAAATGTAAACAAAAAAGCTTAGAGAAAAAGATTAAAATATGAGTAAAACTTTAAATTCATGATGATGATGATGATGATCATCATCATGAATTTAAAATAAATATTTTTAAAGTTTTTTTAGGTTTTCCATCTTTTTCCAATAATTCCAATTTTTTCCAATTCCTTCCAGTTATTTCCAGTTTCTTCCAGTTCCTTCCAGTTTTTTCCAGTTCCTTCCAGTTTTTTCCAGTTCCTTCCAGTTCTTCCAGTTCCTTCAAGTTTCTTCCAGTTTTTTCTAGTTTCTTCCAGTTCCTTCCAGTTTTTTCCAGTTTCTTCCAACATTCAGCTCTTTTTTAACAGTCCTAAAGAACAGGCCCTAAGTGAAATGTTGAATTGTAAAAAGTATATACTCTCTCCGTCCCGCAGTATTCGTCCAGTTTTGACTTTTGAAACTGTTCATCTAAGCACTTTGACTCATCAAATTTTCTCAATGTGTAAGCCTAAATATAGTCATGTGTGATCTTGTTTGATTTATCTTAGCATATAGATTATTAATATATAATTTCTATAATTTTTTAATATACAAATTACAAGATAAAATGGAATGAAGAAGTGTATTGGATGTTGTGTAAAAATGAAAGTGGACAAATACTCTAGGACGGAGGTAGTATAAAGTATGTTTTGGAGTTAGAAAAAAAATTAGAGATTGGAAGAAAAAGTAAGAAATTATAAAAAAACCAAAAGAAACAAGAAAAACCTAAAAAATTGAAAAAACTCGAAGAACCTAAGAAATTTAAAAGAACTCTGGAAAAATTGGAAAAAAACTAGAAAATACACACAAGAACTTCAAAAATCCATTTAAGTGTATTTTTCATACTATTCTTATTGTAATCGTTATGTTTTTTTATTATTAAGAATATTATTTTTATTGTTTTTGTTATTATAAGTAAAAAAATGTGGGAAAAATATTAAAAAAAAATAGGAATAGTTGGAAATAGTGGAAAGAACGAGAAAATTTGAGAGGGGTTGGAAAGAAGTAAAAGAAACTCTAAGAAACTAGAAAAAAGCTCAAAGAAACTAGAAGTTAAAAATTGAAGTTCTAAACACATGTTTGTAATGTGGTTCACTAGATTTTGAAATTTTCTTTGTTGATCAATTCTTAAACATAAAATAAATCAAGAATTAAATCATGTGTACCTGATAATCCTGTAAACGTAGTTAGGGATGAGGCCATGATTCTCACGCAGATCGAATTCCCGTTTAGGGTGTATCGTTATGATGGCTAAGGGGAGAATGAGACTCACGAGAATATAGAGGCAGAGAGGAAGCGTAAGATTGGTGTGATCTCTGCCTAATGACATTTATATATATACACCCAAGGAGATACCCTAATTAGGTCGTAAAGGTAATTACGTCCATCGAATAATTGCCAATTAAATACGCAGGGTATTTATTAGGTCAATGATCAATTAATTAATTAGATAAATGATAACTGAGGCCACATAATAAAATCGTGTCCTACATTCTCCCACTTGGCCGAGCAATCATTTATTATGAGTATTAGATAAGTCTGATAAGATTTTATTACTCATTTTAGTTCTAAACCGAAACTATAGCAAAGAAATATAGTCATTGAATCGAAACTCAATTCAACACCCGCATTAATCATACGACAATACCAAATTTAAAACTTAAATAAGCTAAGGATCAAATTGATAATTAAGCCCATAACATTATTTTGTATATAAATGTTGTCTTCATGTCTTTAGGCATGCATAGACACGTTCGGAGACAATCAAAACAAAACAATGATGAAATTTTATTATTAAATAATGTAAGCAATTAGTACAATATGCAATTAAATAAGGTCTTTAGAAAACCCCATCTTCGAAATTCGGATCCGCAAGCATATTCTTAATACTTATATGCTCAATTTAAAGACTTGCATGATTCGCACTCATTTTTTGAACTTTCGGGTTTGCCAGTGCTTCTTTTTCCATAAAATTTATTTTCTTGTTTCAATTTTTCATTATCTTTTTCTAGT